GTATCAGGGCAGTGAGGTAATTTGGGGCAGCATTATGAACAGCTTTGTATGTCAGTGTTAGTAATTTTGAATTCAATGCGTTGGGCAATCGGGAGCCAGTGGAGGGATTGGCAGAGGGGGATGGTAGATGCGGAGTGGTTGGTGAGGTGGATGAGTCTAGCCGCTGAGTTTAGGATAGACTGGAGCGGGGATAGCCTGTGTTGGGGTAGGCCGGTGAGAAGGGAGTTGCAGTAGTCTGGGCGTGAGATAATAAGTAAGTGTACGAGTTGTTTATGTAATTTCCATTTGTTGATTTTTAGATCACTGGCACTTGGAAATTTAAGTGATTGATTTATTTGAACATTTTATTTGCACATTCTTTTACATTTAATATTCATTTAATGTTTTAAGGTTTATAATGCTGCACTTATTCTTTTATATATTTTGGTGAGCTTTTAGTGCTGACAGCTTTTTTTATTAGTGTTATCTAGCCCAAGCACAGTGAGTTCTATATGTATAATAATTACTGTACCAGTTCCTCCCTCCCTCCCTGAACTGTATGTTCAGCCAAAATGTTTTTAATTTTTTGGTAGTGTGGGGAAGGGTTAGAATCCCATTGGAGTTTTTACTGCTATCCGGGAATCCATTTGAGAGATTTCCACCCTTTTCCTGTTCTGCTGTTAGTGGTTTCAACAGACAGAATGTAAAGGAAAATCACCACTAAGATATAACAAAGGATTAAAAAGGGTAAAAAAAAAAAAAAAAAAAAAAGCTCTAGAAAACTTTATTACAAAGTGACATTTCCTTGAATTTCAACCTCATTTGCAAAGCTGAGGAACTCTTCCTTTCTCTGTGGTCTGCAGTAAAGCTGTCAGTCTATTCTGTGCTCTTTCCATGAAAATGGTACAGACCAGTATTGCTGTGTGATGTAGTGGAAGCACAGGGCCACCTGTGTCCCCATCTTTCTACAGTACATATGTACACGAATTCTGCTAAATGGGATTGTGCTCCACTTTTGGCAAAATTCCAACCAGTGTGTTTTCTTGTTTACTTTTTCTTGTTTACTGTATGCACCGTCTTTCTATGCCACTTTAGTATTTACCTACAGATACAGCAATGTTAACAAAGAAACTTGTTTCACTGATATCCTATGTTGTAATGAGTAGGTTTCTTTGAGACTTTTCTATTCTTGCAAGCTGTCTGGTCATTGAGTGAATCTTGTAGATTCGTTCAAAGCACACCGATGTAATAACATTTGAAACTTCTGAGTGAAAACATTTTAAAATTGCCCGAATGGAGCTGTTTGAGAGAAGTTGTCTAGGTCAGTATTTTTTTAAGGCACAGAATAACATAGCAGGATATACATTTAAATTCTTACATTTGAAAAGCACTAGCAACAAAAAATATGTGAGCTGGGAGAAATAAAATGAAAAGGGGGATTTTACAGGAGAAAAGAGATTTTTTTTCTTTTTTTCATTGCATCAGAAGATCACCCAGCAAAGCATGCACTTTTTCAGTCTCACACAGAACTCCTTCATCCAGGCATGTGCTATAAAAAGTCAATAAAAGAAAGGCTGCATAACAATATATTGTGTAGAAGATCTCAACAATGCCAGATGTTGGTCCCTATAGCACCTGTACCAAAAGGAATACAGCATGGTGAATTCCAATTCGGTGTGCGATTAGGATATACTTTGTTATAACAGAATAAAAAGGACTTGGTGAAACAAAACGGCATTCTGATATCAAGTTTTACAACTTGCATTGCTTGCAATAACTACATTAAAATAATAGTACAGTTTTTCATCTGAAATATTCGTGAATTTTAAGCTCCCTTCATGTTGCAAAGTGACCCCATGTCCATACAGCAGGCATCTCCAGGTACCTGCTCATATCCTACAATTATTGTTAGAACTCTCGAGGTTCCCCAAAACCCATGATGCTCTGTTATTCTAGTATATTATACACAACTTTCCTTATTTAGTTTTAGCCCTTCCTTTAGACCTTCCTTTTTGTTTTTTAGGCAGGAGGGTGTTTGCAACTTGGCCAGTACAAATAATATATCTTAAGCTGGTTACCCCGAGTCATGATATGTAACCAGTCAGACATTAAAGCCCAACTCAGAGCAAATAAAAAAGTATCCCATGCAGTGGGGCTGTGTCTATGCTGCAAGGGTTAATTATGCATTTATCATCAAGACCAGAGGAGGATCCATATCCCTGCTCTGGAATCAAGGGTGCTGAGGGACAGTCTACTTCCAGATCATGTGGGAACTGCGCCTGCCGGGGGATTGGAGGATCAGACTATTTCTCCTCTCCTCTGGACAAAATGAGCTATTAACCCTAGCAGTGCAGGTAGAGACCCACTGCAAGGGATATTTTTTCTGAACGGAGTTGGACTTTAAAAAAGCAGTACATTGTAAGAAAGACAATGACTTTATCCCTGCTTTCCTTTTTTCCACAGTAATATTTCGGCTTTCAGTCATATCAGTTCAGTTTTAGTGGTGTAGCATAAATAATGAGGTAAGATGACCCAGGTAATACCTTTGTGTTTCTTAGGTCATCATTAGCTGTGTTGTCGTATTTTTCTTGCAGTTTTGTTGTACTTTTGCGTCAATTCATGACTGTAATAGAGTATTCATTGTGGCATTTTATAACTCTGGTGTGTGTGTCTGTATTACTGCATGGTCATGGCAAAGTAGAACAGTGTAAGTACTAGGTTTAGCCTGGCCAAAACCAAAGGCCTGATAAGCCTCTTCAAATTATCTGGTTGCATAAGTAATCTCTATGTTCTGTGGTACAATAAGGTTTACATAAAAGGTTCAGAAATCCAAATGAAAATGCAGAAAGTTTATCATTCATTTGTGCAGAATAAAATTAAAAAATACCTATTTTGTTTCTGTTCTCTGAGGATCCGTGTGATTAGATACTTAGAACCAAAAGCAAGCCATGGTAATGCAAATTATTTTTCACAATCCTGGGCTCAGAAACCAGAAAGAGGTTTCTAGATCTCTTCATAGCTACATGTCAAATGACTTTCCACTTTAATGGTCTTTCACCATCATGCCGGTATTTCTTGCACCAAAAAGAAATAAATGCTCTCATAGTGCAATATTTCTTGAGGCAAAACGTATATGTACTATAAAAAATTTTACTTGCATTAGGAAGTGCCCAATATCTCAGCACAAATACATACAGCCTGAAGCACAATACCAACAACGCAGCTCCGCTCTCCGGAAAAACGGGGTGCATTCCAAAGCCCACATATTGGTTCCGAAAGTGACGTCACTACGTTGCCAAAAGTGGCAGACATAGTCCCTCCTTGGCACGTTTTGGCATCGGCATCCTCAGGAAGTGTCCAGAGAGCGGAGCTTCATTTGCACTTGCAGCTTCATTTGTATATGGGTGTGCAGGATTTTTGTTTACAATATATCCTTCAAAACCGCTGACCTTGATTAGTTTGTTGTTGACCCTCTGGTCTACAATTGTTGGAATTGTTTCAGACCTGTCCACTGTAGATCCTATGCTGTTTTGCTGTTGGGCTGCTTGTATCATAATGCACACCTAATGACCGCAGCAGAGATGACAGTGCAGGTTCTAAAGACTTCAAATCTTGCTGAGGTTTTACAGTTCAAGACATCTGAACTAATAAAACGTTGAAGAACGAAGCAAATGTTTGAAAACATCTGGTCTTTAGGTGGGCACTTTCACTAAACAGAACCCCCTCAGACATGCAGACATGTTGTAAGACAAGTTCAAACATCCTATAGCTCCTGAGCCAAAGGTTAATGTAATGGAACTGGGCTGCTGTTAGAAACCATGCAGCTAACCTGACGCCCCCCTCCCCCCCAAAAAAAGGCAAAACACAGTTTACTATGCTTCAGCTATGCGTAACCACAGTGAGTGATCGGTACAGATCGCCCATTGTGTTATTTCAGGAAAGGAAGGGGCTGGTAAATGTAACATATTTACTGGACCCTTCCCCCACACTTCATCTAGAAGGATCCTATTGTGTGTTTGCAGCTGTCGGTGCGAAGGAGAAGAGGAAAGCCAGCACTGCGGGGGAGGGGAAGCAGGGGAAATGTATGGTGTACAAGGAGGGTGGTGGGTGTGGAAGTGGGGCAATTACTGGAACCAATCTCCTGTATGGCTCTCTGCAGCAATTGAAAGCCAGCGGGAGGGAGAAGAGAAGAAGCCAACTTTCATCTGCTGCAAAGAGAGCTGCACAAGGTATCATTCCCACTAATTGCTCCCCCTCCATGCCGATCACCCTCCCCACCCACATTTGATTAACCCAGCTGCCTGAGCCCCCCTTTTGTCCTGGGCCCTATACAGGAGGACCGGTGGTTCCCCCTTATCCACGGCCCTATTCACCACACACACATCAAAATCTGATAATGCAAACACCTTTTAGTGTGGATTCACACATGTGCAGTGCAGATTGAAGCTCAGGCTTCACAGCTATTTGACACAGTAGTTCAGGTCAGGTTTCCATCAGGTTAAGGACAAGTTTAGATCAGGTTCAGTACAGGATTTTATCCTGTTCACAACTGATGACATGTGCAGTTTAGAAACGGTTCCCATAAAAGTCAATGGTCTGTAATCTGCACTTGAACTGGAATGCACTTCTCAGAAATTGTACAGGACTCTTTTTCAATCCCCACTGAATTCACACTGCCAATACACTGGACATATGTGAACAGGCACCATAGGAAGCAATGTTATTTCACATGCCATGCAGATTGGATGCAGTTCAAACCGCATCCAATCCGCATATATAGTATGTGAACCAGCTCGCACATAGGCCCCAACTTGAGAGACCCAAGTCGGATGACATGAAATTCAGTGTTTCCCTATGAGAGCCACCTTAAAGGAGAAATACAGCCATTAATTAACTTTTATTTAGAATTTCATTTTCTTACAATCATGTCATTCATTTCACATCAATATATGCATATTTCCCCAAAATGACAGATATTATGTATGTTTTAAGTGGAAGTTTAATTCTGTCTGTTTCTTTGCAGCTGACTTTGGTGTTTCTGCAAAAAATGTGAAGACTCTACAGAGAAGGGATTCCTTCATTGGAACTCCATACTGGTAAGAAAGTAAATGTCTTTATAAAGTGTGGGAAATGTTTTCATGGGATATGTAGGTTCTAAAGTGCATTTCCATTTGAAGAGAATATTTGAAGTTGATATCTTCCTTGTAAGCCAGGTGTGCACACTTGGCAAGATGTTCACTTTGAATTCAGTTACTAAAAGAATGGATGAGTTAAAACATTGTAGAAGAATGGAGTGTCTCCTGATAATATTACTTTACAGAAAGGATTTATACACACATGATCTCAGTGGAGGGTGTATTGTACTGCTGTCTGCTTTCCCTTGTTTCTCTGCTTATGCGTTTCTGTTAGGTGATCTGTATCTACTGTAATGAGTTCCTCATGTGAAACAGATGAATGTGGTGAACTAGCTCTGCGGAGGGCAAGCAAAATGGTGATGAGGAACAAACTGGGAAACTGCTAGACACTCATATGCAGGTTATCTGGGATGCAAATGTGAAGAAGGTTCCTTGAGGACATGGGCTGTATGCAAATGGGATTTTATCAAAGAAGACATGGCATCCCTTTAGATGTGCATGCTCACTAAGCTAGATACTGTTGATCTGCACATTTATATGAATGCCAGGTTTGCATTTTTAGTTTTAATACTGGAAAATTGTTTCTGCCCATAGACATCCGCTATAGTCACGTCCTTCTAGGAATGATAATTAGGGCTGCTGTACTGAATCACTTAAATCTAAAGAGTGATGTAAGTGCTATTTTTTGTTTTATAAGCTATACTTTTTCTTTACAAAGAGGTTACTAGGAACTGCACTGTGGATCTACTTCCTAATTTGTGGTGAATTTCCACACTAGGGTGTGGATCACTGCTATATATTTTTAGCAGTTTTTCCTGGTATACTGGTTTTGTCCTTTAAATAGTATGTTTACGTAAATGCTCTTTAGAATACATTTGTAGTTTTAAAGGATAAGTTCACTTTTGAAAAATAATAAATGCACATTTGTTTGCAGGTCAAATTTTTTTTTTTTTTTTTTTTTTTGGAGCCTATAAAGCATTGGACCAGCAATTATCAGATGCCTGATGCCATGCAGGTCTCCAGCAGACTGTCAGTTTAATCTGTGTGCTCGTATCTTCTATAAGCAGACATTTTAACACTGACAGGAACTCAATGAACTACAACAGCACTCCACAGCAACATGGTAGTTCATTGAGAAACTACAAGCCGACATCCGCAAAGGACGTCGATACTTGTAGTTAATGCATTCACAGAACTCTGTGAATGAATGTTGCAGCCATGTGGGCGGAGCCCAGCACGGCCACGCTCATTTCAAAAAGTGACAGCTAGTACAGGGAACTTCGGTCATACTGCTGTCACAGGGAGAGGGGGGATCAGACATCGGCTGCAGTGCTGGGAACATGTTACATGTTCCACCCTAAAAATTGGTGGAACATATTGCATGTTCCACCCTAAAATTGGTGGAACATGTAACATGTTCCCAAAGGTGAACTTCGCCTTTAATGGTATTTGTTGCATTGGCGTTCCCAACAAACCTTTTTCTGTCTCGTTTACTTTTTTTTAATTCTTTTTATTCCATTTTAGTAATAAAAGGTGGTACAAAACAGAGCCTCTGGGCACTCGCCTGCTCACTTGACATAAACAAAAAACATAACAACTAACTCACTCCAGCTAACCATTAACCTCAAGTAATTGGTACACACTGATAAAAGAAGGTCTCAACAGTTATAGGAGAAGAAACAGGACCTATAGGGGGAGGGTATTCACTACCTCATTTACTTTAGGCGTAGCTCAAAGCAAACCTACAGCTGAGACACATTTAAATGAACTTTTTTTGTTTGTTTTTTTTTTTTTTATTTACCCCGTTGACACATTGCACATCAAGGCATGTGATATATATGTTTTGTAATTTTAATTTTGCAATTTCCCACCGCTGTTCCATCCTGCTCAATGGACAGTGAACCCTTATTATAACCTTTGTCCAGCAATCAGTGCAGTGACCCACGGATTTGTAAAGCTAAATTAGGAAACTCTGGAGTCCCCTTTACTACACTGTGAGTAAGTTAAATAAGATCAGATAACTCTGGGGAAATTGAGAAATCTCCCCCTTCAGTGACACTCCCGCACACTGCAAGTGAATGCTTGTTTACTTCTACAATACCAGTAAAATGCACGTTTACTTTCCCCAAGGGTGCTGAACATGTGGCCTGCAGGCCACATGTAACCCTTGCAGCCCTCTGATGTGGCCCTTGACCTCAAACCAGGGAAGCACACTTCTATTATAATCTCAATACAGGAGTTTTGGTGCACTTTCCACACCCGCAAGATATAATTGAAGTCTATGGTAAAGCACAACTAACCCACAGGTAAAGTGCAGCTAACTGTGGTGCGGGTAAACAGCATCACATCAATGCAGCCCTATAGGAAACTCAGGACAGTAAGGGCTTGTTTACATTTGAAGTTTTGGGGGAGGTAAAACCCCATAGTAGACATGTGTTTTTACCGCACACCCCAAACCATTGGTATAGTGTCAGGGGTCACACTGGTGACCCCTGCCCCATGCTCCAGGGGGCCTATGTGGCCTCCCTGTCACATTCTATTTTACGTTTGGACAGGAGGGGCGGCAGGGGCAGCATATACAGGAATTTATCAGTTTTTTCATTTCCTCCTGCAACTGCTGAAAGCTGGCTTTTCCTCCTCTCCCTCCTGCCAGTATTCATCAGCTGCAGAAAGAAAATGCTGATTATGCTATTCAAAATTTAAAAAATGGGAAATTCTGAACCATTTTGTTTCATTGTGGTCCACGACCAGTTACCAAATCAGTGGCCCTCTTCAAAAGGGTGAGCACCCCTGGCTTACCCTATCCCTCACCTCCTCGGCAGCAAGCGCACTTCTCTTCCCTGCAATGCTCTTGGTTTTGGACAGGCCCTCCGCATCCTCATTTACAGTGCAGGATTGCTGGTCCTGCATTGTATCTGATAACGTTTGAGTGAGACTGACTGACAGAGCATCGAAGTGCTGGGGACTGGTCTCGTGGAGTAAGTAAAGCCTGCAAGATAAGGCAAGTAAAGTGGTTTTCAATGGTACCCTAAGCAAAAATTAACCCTTGTAACCCTTGAAGTGAAAGGGGAGTCCCACCGCAAGGGTTTTTTTTTTTTTTTGTTTGTTTTTTTTATTTCCACAGAGTTCAGAATTAACAAATGTGCCTGGAGTGCCGCTTTAAAATTCAAATCCCTGTCAGCACACAAACGTAGTCAAAAGCAGAGAAACCAAGGATCCATGTGTCATGTTTGGTATATTTTAGCTAACATAATGTTTTACCATAGCAATTCTTTTTTTTATACTGGTGTTACTGGAAATAGTATATCTTAGCATATCTTTAGGTCATTGTCACCATGTATGAGAAAAGTACTGGAATTGAGCATTCGCAATCCTCCAGCTGCTGAATTATATTACTGTTCTTTCCTGTACAAGGTGCATATGATACAGATTAAAATAAATTCGGATCCCATTGGTGTTTTCAGCATCAGTCCTTAGTACTGGAAGAGATGGCTGGTTTATTCTAAAAATTGTAAATGCCACGGCTTGTTGTTGTGTTATATAATGTGGCCTGTTGATATCCAGATGTGAGGAGAATGTTTTTCATCAATATGCTTTTTATTTGCCTAGTTATATCCTATGCCAAAGCCTCTTTGTTCACGCAGCAGCCAGATAGATAAAGAGTTTAATAAAAAACAAAAACAATGGCAAATAATTGATGTCAACTTCTGTCTGCCTGAACTTCTGTTTGCAGGATGGCTCCTGAGGTGGTGATGTGTGAGACTATGAAGGATGCTCCGTACGATTACAAAGCAGATACCTGGTCTTTAGGAATAACGCTGATTGAAATGGCTCAAATTGAACCCCCACACCATGAACTGAATCCCATGCGTGTCCTCTTGAAAATCGCCAAGTCCGAGCCACCCACGCTTGCTGCCCCTTCAAAGTGGTAATGATTCTGAGCTCTGTTTTATGGCATGGTGGAAAGGTATTCATAACATAGTCCAGTTCATAACAGGATGTATTGCTAGAAATTCCAAAAATATTTTTCCTCTGAACACATTGGTTTGTAGAAGCTGAGCGAATCTGCTTTATATTAGTGGTTGTTGATGATCAAAACACACATGCAAGTGTTGTTATGGAGTGTTTGGAAGGCAGGAGGAGAGGGAACTCAAAATAAGAATTAGGAGTTTGAGGACTTAGAACATAATTGAGCTTATTTGACAAGGTGGTGCAGAGGAATGATAATAGGCAAAATGCAGCCAACATACTTCAGTTTCCCTTAACCACTTCAAGTCCTGTCACTTTCACCCCCTTCCTGTCCAGGCCAATTTTCAGCTTTCAGTGCTATCAGACTTTGAATGACAATTGTGCGGTCATGCAACACTGTACCCATATGAATTTCTTTGCGTTTTTTTTAGACAGATAAAACTTTATTTTGGTGGTATTTATTCACCACTGGGATTTGTATTTTTTAGCTATATAAATGAAAAAGTCCAAACATTTTGAAAATAAAGTGTTTTTTTCTTATACAATTTTGCAAATAAATAATCTGTCTTCATATATCTTGGCCAACATGTATTCAGCTATCTTTTTAGTAAAAAAAAAAAATAACCCAAATTAGTTTATAACCAAAAATTATAATTTTTAAAAATGTTTTTTTTAATTTATATTTTTTTTTTATATTATTATTGTGTTTTTTTAACATACTGACACCCTAGCAGTACAGTGTCACCATAGTGACACTGTGCTACTTGGGGGGGTGATGATGTTTTTTGTTTTATTTTTAAACACAGCCGTAAAGGCTGTAAAAGTAATAATTTCTCCTTCTCTCTGGCTGCATTCTTGCAGCCATTGAGAAATACTGTGAGAGCTGTGATTGGTCATAGCTTGTCACATGGTACAAGGCTGTTGTGAATAGCTTTGTACCATGTGACCTCTGATCATTCACAAATTTCACTAGTAGTAAGCAATGATGTCAGCAAGTGACATCTTGCTTACTACTATTCATGTGATCACTGATTGGATTTGCTCTGTATAATGGTTTTGCACAGAGCAGCCCTGATCCTCCTCTTCTCAGGTCCCCTGCTAGCGTTCCTGGCACAACCCCCCCCCCCCCCCCCCCCCACCATGAGTGCCTCCATAGCACATAGCAAGCGGGCTAAATCCTGAGCCACCTCTGTGTGTGAGCATAGACACAAAGAGCACAGCTATTTTCACTTCTTTTTTTTTTTTTTTTTTTTTTTTTTTTTACATACTGTCACCAGTGCAGTACAGCATCATCATATAACTGGCATGGTGGTGGACAGGGACACTGACTGGTGACAGTATGAAAATATATATATATATATATTTTTTTTTATTTTTTTTTTTAATTATTTTTTTTAATTTTTTTAATTATTTTTTTAAGATTTTTTTTTTTCATTTTTTACTATGACCAAAGTAGTACAATGTTACCATAGGAACATTGTACTACTTTGGAGAAGTGATCAGTATTTTTTTTTTTTTACACAATTTGCTTATAGCAAAGAATTACTTTGCTATAAGCAAGCATTTACCTGAATGATATCGATTCATTCAGATTTGGCCACAGCTAATCCCATGACATGTGCATGTGACCTGCTGTGACCATTCACAGCTAGACACTAGTATACAATGGATGGCATGAAAGGAAGCCATCCATTGTATACAACTGTCATGTGACCTGCTGTGATTGGTCACAGCAGGTCACATGGTACCGGCAACAGGGGCCTGTACTCAGATCTGTCATCGGCCGTGTCCGAGGTACTCGGCCGGTGACAGATCGCGCCGCTGCGCGGCTCTGCAACCGCGCATGTGCGGGAGGACGACAAATGGCGTACACCCCGGAAAGCTAGCATTTTTGCAGCCGCCAAACGGCTATAGGCCGGGCGGCAAATGGTTAAATAATTGAAAGATGATTTCTGATTGGTTGTGCTGAGTTTCTGCTGTTGCGTATTGCTCTTTTGAATAAACCCAATATGTGTTTGGGTTATCTTTACATTTTTCTGTATATAATTAGACAATCTTATTGTTTGAAAATATGTACCCTGAATCTTTGGTTTCTGTTAGTTTGGTAGTTTGCTTAGGGAAATGAGTAAGTAAAAGAAGAATGCTTCAAGCTGTGGTCATGTTTTCTGTCATATTGTATCTAATGACATCACAAATTATTTGTGTCATTGGAAGGTCTCTGGAGTTCCGGGACTTCCTGAAAAAAGCCCTTGATAAGCATCCTGAAACAAGGCCAAGCGCAGGACAGCTTCTGGAGGTAAGCCAAGCATCTTCAGACACAATGACCCTTATCTACAAGATCTCAAAGTTTTGGCTAATATTATTCTTTTCTTTTACTATGAAGAAAGCAGGAGACGTTTTGTTGTATCTATAACCTCTTCATTGCCCAGGATATATTACATCATAGCTGTACCCTATTTTAGATGGCTATGTGATGTATGTAATATGTCATGTCAATAAATGGTTGAAAAAAGACAAGTTCAAGTCTAAAGAAAAAAAATTATTGAACATAACAAACTAGTTTTAAATAATACAAAAACAACCACTATACCCCACTCCTCCACCACCTCCCTTCCCAATAATTTGCACACACAAGAAACCTACACATACCCACCAATATTATGCACAGGTATACATCAGAGCCATATGGCTGTACTCATATGAGGTTTTACTACATAAGTAAGAGCTTTTTGAATACTTTTAGGGACTTAATTTGTGTATAGTACTAAATGTTTCATGAAAATCTCTTAGGCTAAATTCACATCTGTGCGGGTGGTTCCTGTTGCGATTTCTTAGCACCTGTTCCCACAGCCACAACCACTCGCACAGAAAAATGCAGGAGGTGTAGCGAATGCCATTAATCCTATCACACTGAAATTGTTCCTGCACTGCGAACCAGAGGGCATGCGACCTGTGAAACTAGCCTAAGAACGTACAAACTCAACAGTGCCAAAATAAAATTCTAATATGCTGCACTTTTATAAAATATCGGGTATGGCGAAGTATTTTAATAAGGCTGTAATGTATTTTCAAGGCAGTAATGCGTATGTCAAAAATCGCAGCCTAAGATGCATGCAACATGAGAGGCAGGACTGAGCAGAGATAGCTATCAATTGGAAAATTGAGCAAATAATTTATATGAATGCAATGCAAGGTTGCTATAGTGAAATAGCAGTGTGCAATTTTTCCCTTTTAAATAATCACTTTTATTCAGTATCTTTTTTTTTTTTTTTTTATTGATATCTAGCTCCTCTTAAAAGCCTTTTTAGGTAGTATACAGTGTCTGGTCAGTTCTGGCATCTTAGATGCCAGAATTAAAGTTTTCAAGCATCAGGTGTTGCTTGAAGTGACATGATTAGCATGCAAACATCCTCTTAAAGAATAAGTTCACCTTTACAAAAAAAAATAAATGCACATTTTTGCAGGTACAAAATATGCATTTATTATTTTTTGTTGTTGTTAGGAACCTGTAAAGCATTTCACCCATGATCAGCAGATCATGGGTGCAGTGCCACAGTCCTGCAGACTGTCTGTGTAGCTGTCTGCCCATATCTACAATACAGGTAGGCAGTTACCCTCTGACAGAAAGCTCACCGAACTACCTAGAGTGCTCAACAGCACTGTGGTAGTTCTTTAAGAACTACAAGCCAATGGCCACAAAGGCTGTTGGTACTTGTAATTGTCACATTCACAAAACACTGTGAATGAATAACACAGCCAGATGTGTATTTTTTTTTTTTTTTAGATTGTGATAGCAAGCACAGGAAGAAGATCCCCCACTCGCTGTCAAAATGTAGGATCAGGGGTGCAGAGGCTGGTGCATCTGTAACATGTTACACCCTGAATATGAGTGTAACATGTTACAAAAAGTGAAATTATCCTTTACCACTGTAATTTTCTACTGATTAGTGTGACAGCATGGAATATGTCAGATTTGGCTTTTTGTTTCTCCACTTTTTTTTTTTTTTTTTTTGTCATACCAATACAGACAAAAGAAATAAACAGGAAAATGCCTAAGCATTTGTAATGGCAATTTTCTGGGTGAAGTGGTGCATTATCTGACAGAAGTGCAGAGGTGCCAATATTTTTGGCCACGACTGTATCATATTTGTAATCTCCTGTTCAATTCCACATAACTTTGTTGGGGCTCTTTCCTAATCTCCCTTTATTTACATTATGAATGCCTACATTTGTTAGACTAGTAATCCTTGTGTTCACAACTGGATCAAGTGTACTTTTTTTTTTTTTTTTGCTAATGCTTCCCAGCACCCATTTGTAAACAAAAACATAAAAAATCGAGTATTACGGGAACTTGTCGCAGAAGCAAAAGCTGAAGTTTTGGATGAAATAGAAGAAAATGGAGAAATGGAGGAGGAAGAGTCCCCAGATCCAGTTTCTGTAAGTTACCATCTTCACTTTGTCGGTCTGACTTATTGTGGCTTTTTTAACATTTGTAGTAATTGTAAATAAAATTAAGGGCCAGTCTACCTAAAATCTCTTTCCCTAACAATGTTGGGTACATTCCATCTGTAGGCATCTGATACTTATCCTGTGTGTATTTATTTAACCACTGAGGATTTACCCCCCTTCATGAACAGGCCAATTTTTACATTACGGCGCTGCGTTACTTTAACTGACAATTACACGGTCATGCAGTGCTGCACCCAAATTAAATTACCATCCTTTTTTTTTCCCACAAATTGAGCTTTCTTTTAGTGGTATTTGATCACCTGTGCGCTTTTTATTTTTTGTGCTATATTTTGGACTTTTTGCTATTAAACATGTCCAGTGAAAAAAAAATTGAAAAACAAATGGTGGTATAGATAATTACACTTGTGTGAGCAAGGCCTATGGGCGTCATCAGTTCAGTCACATTTTTTGCTCAGTAAAAAACTGATGAATGTGGAATCTGGTTACATCAGTTTGCGCTTCCTTCTTCAATTCAATTTATATCCGTTTACACAGTTTTTTTAATCTGTTTTCATGTTGAATAAACTAACCATAAATGAAATTATAAATATAAATATGGTTCCTGCCTAAAAATGGACATCAATAGAACAGAATGGATGTAAACAGACAGCATCAGTTTAAAACATGACACAGAAAAGGACATTGCCTTGTTCCATTAAAAAAATGGACCTGAACAGACTCAGATGTAGGTGGATATAAACAGATGATCGTCTGTTTACATCCTCAGGCTCATAGGTATAAATTGATGTCCTTTTTTCATACAAGAATGGGCAGATGAATAACAGTAGTGCAGAATGCTAATGTGCAAGGGCCTGTAGACTATGGGTTATATGCTGCTACTGTCAGGTGATTGAACACTGGCAAAAGCTTTGCTGGGCCACCTAGTGTATTCATGTAACCCAGCCCACTCCGTGATGCTCCAATTTTTTACTAGTGCCCTTTAATAATTAACTCCTCTTCCTGTTGATGATTTTTTTTTTTTGACCGTTTTCTTTTCCTCCTTTGACTGCCACATATCAAGATCTGACTTCTTATTGCTTTATGGCACACAAGCAGGAATTTCTATTTTAGGTGTGCCATGGGATCTATACCCAGACGTTGTGGCAGTGGGACCAGCCTGTACTGTTTGCTTTAGCCGCTTACCATGGCACGTGGTGCTACCAATATAGTTATCTGCAGGGTGCTATACATGTCCAAAGTCATGGGCCATTCCTGTGATACTAAGCTGGGAGGTGTGTTGCAACTACTTCATCCTCTGCCTGTAAAACGGCACAAGGAACCAGCCTTTAGTACAGGGGATCTCTAGTGAAGTTTAAACTTCTCTCAACATTTTGGAACTATCTCTACAACACCGGACCTTCCTTCTGCAAGGTAACCCTGTCAAGGTGCAGTCACAGTGCAACACTTAAACCATCAGCAGGACACCAGAAGTCAAACTTGCATTCCAGCTCTCTCAGATGTTCACATCCCTGGAATGGACAGTTGGTAGATGTACCTCTTAGCCATCACCTCCTGGACCTAGGGCAGTGCTTTCTGTACCTCTGTCAAAGGTGGGGAAAACCAGATGTGGGCATAATGGCCACCAGGCTCATCAACAAACTGAACGACTTTGTACACAAAATCAGGGACCTTCTAGCCTTAAATTTAGATGTTCTGGTGATTCCTTGGACTCAATTCAAACTGGTTTTTGCCTTCCTCTGAAGAAGATTCTTTCTTGGTTGTTGCACAGGATAGAGGAGGAAAGAGTCCTGGTGACTCTTATCGCACCATTTTGGCTTAGAAGAATGTGGTACACAAGCTTATTCAAATGTCTGGTGGATGAGTCTAGGCCTCTGCCAAATAGACCGAATGACTGGCCCAAGTGCCCCTATGCTATTAGGATTCACAGTCATCGGCTTTAACGACATGGCTTTTGAAACCCATGTGCTGAAAGTCAGGGGTATTGCTAATCTGCCACAAGATTTACCACTGTACATGGGAGGCTTATTTTGCATGGCACAAAGATAGACAGTTGAACCCTAGGGAATACCTTATCACTTTTTTGGCCTTTCTTCAGTCCAGGCTAGACCATTGTCTGGCCTTGAGTACCTCAAAGGGACTGGCTTCTTATCCATTTTCTTACAGAAGCCTCTTGCCTCGCAATTCCTGATTAAAACTTTTCTTCAGTGAATTTCTCATATAAATGCCCCAATTCAACCTGTGTCGCCTTGGGATCTCAGTATTGTGCTCTCAGATCTTCAGACACTTTCTTTGAACCAATTAGCAATATTACTTTGAAAATACCTTACATCTAAGGTTGCATTCCTGGTTGCTGTTATGTCAGGTACATTTCTGAGTTGGCAGCTCTTTCTTAAAAAGAGCCGTTTCTTTGTTTTTTGTTTTTTTGTTGTTTTTTTTTTTACAGGACAAGGTGGTCCTGAGACCAAGACCTTTCTTGTCCCCCTTTTTCTTTCCAATTCTCCCTTTTCTCTATTCTGCTTTCAACATGACAAGAACATTGTCCTACATTGCTTGGATGTGGTCAGGGCATTCATGGTCTACCTTTGTTCACAAGACGAGTCCCTCTTTCTTATGCCTGTAGGTCATCATAGAGGACGTACCACTTTCTGATCAACAGTTGCCAGATGGATCAGAAAATCTATTTTTCAGGGCCTATGTCCTTGAGGAAAGGATTCCACCCTTCCCCTTCAAAGCTCATTTCACCAGTGCTGTTGGTGTATTTTGGATTTTTCAGCATCAGGCTTCTATATCCCCAGTTTCCAAGGTCCCCACCTGATCCCCTTTTCACACATTTTGAAATGTCTACTGGGTGTTTTAGGGTACTTTATCCCTTTTCTTTTTTCATGGACCATTTGGACGTTCTATTTTGCTATATTGTTGCCCACCCCTTAGTTTACTACTTGGGGATTTCCTATGGTTTATGAATAAAAGTCCTGTAATGTACAATTAAGATCATACGAATTTTGACTTGCTCATAAATTAATTATCTTGGAGTACAATACCATACACAAGCCCCACCCCTCCATGTCCTAATCACTCCTTATTGCTTAGTGAAAAAAAAAAAAGGGACTCTCATGGATTGGGTGGTTTTATATGAATGTACAATAGGAACAGCCCTAGCTTTTTTTTTGTCAGTGTCTAAAACACCTGAAGATAGCCTGCATATAACCCATAATCTATAAATAAATGTCCTGTGTCCTCTACTGTACTCCATAATAAGGAATTTACAGGTAAGTCAAACTTACTATTTTTAGTACTCTCCATAAAATCCTTTTCCTGGAGTCCATTGAGGTGTAATGCATGTCTCCATTGTCAATGATGCAACAAGCCTGTAGTTTGTCAATCAGCACCTAGCCAAGCCAAGTCCTGTCCCCTGCTTTCTGGATTCACAGCATTTCCTCTGCCCTGAACCCTTGTCACTGAACTGTAGTATAAAATGGAGGGGATTTGGCAAGATAAAGGAAGGTTTAGGTATGGATAGTAACATAGTTGGTACTTGGTAAGACTGTGATACAAGAGACCAAAGGATTGTTTTACCTTAATGCATTCTATGCATTAGGGTAAAGAGCCTTCCAGAATCCACTCCCCCCAGCCCCCTTATAAATACTTAACTGGCTCCTCTTTCAATCTGGTGCCCAAGAGCAGCATTGCTTTGCTCTCCCACTCCTCACAGGTATGGAGACAGCATCCCGGAGCCATCAATCAAATCAAAGAAGAGGCACCAAATGCACCAGCAGGGGACCTCAGAAAAGAAGGTTCAAGGTCGCTCTGTGCAAAACCATTGCACACAGCAGGTAAGTATACCATGTTTGTTATTGTAATAAAAAAAAAAAGCTGAAGCTTTACCATCACTTGATAAATTATGCAGTATGCAAAAATGATTTGTAGGTCTGTTAACTGTATTTTATTTGCCACTATAGTATATATATTTTGATAATTACTTTTACATCCATTTTTCTTTACATTCTGTTAGCCACCTGCAAAGAACGGCCAGTACTCATCTGATGTGGAAAAAGACAAGCACCCTGTTAGCAATGGAATAAAGCCTCTTGCAGAACATTCAAAGGACCAAAGCCCAGACAGCACTATAAGCAGCAAAGCTGACAGCAGAAGTTCTTCCGAGAATATTCATGTACAGAGTCTTCACGGTGTAGAAGATGCAAAGCCTGACATTATTATCATCAATCCATTGATTGAAGTAGATAGAAGGGGCCACTCTGCAGCTGAAAACCATAGCAAAGACGCGGATAAAGACCACACATCAGTTACACCTAATAGTCACAAGCCAAAGAGCAACCAATATGAACGTCTTTCTGCTGAACTAATACATAATGGAAGCATCAACTCTCCCTCGCGATTCTTCAGCAGCTGGTCCAAAAGGGATTCTGACTCAGGCAGCAATTCTGCTTCAGACAGTATGGATCTCAGCATGAACCTGTCAGCTGATCTTTCCCTTAACAAAGAAACTGGTTCATTATCAGTCAGGGTAAGATGATGTTTAACAACGTCAATATGTTTTTACATTTCTTTAGTAAAAGATAAGTGAGATTTGCTGGTTTCTCAGCAATAACTTGCTAAGCACCACTTTCAGCTGTGTCATTGGTGTTCCTCAGTGAACTTTTTTTTTCTTTACCCTTAGTTCTGTTTCCTACAGACTTATGAAGCTGAACTGTTTTGCCTCTTGAGTTAATTGAACTGATACCAACTGCAGCTTCCTGTTCACTTTCCTGTTGAGCCAGATGAAAGTTGAGTGGTTCTTGCTAGATGGGTCTAGTGGCACCAGTATAGCTCGGGTCTATTCAGTGCTGGATGTAAGCAGAGCAATGCGCCTCTGTGCATTTGGTGGCTTTATTATAGAAGTTAGGAAGAAGACAGAATAAAAATGCCTGTGACAGAAGTTTAGCATTTTGTAGTGATTGAAAAATAAAACCTCTGATGGCTTGCTAATGGTAATACATTCGCCTTCCTTTTCCTCCAGTTTTTCTACAAAGTCTTGTTGAATGTCTTGGTATGTTTTTCTTAACAGCTGTATTTGCCTTATTTATGTTCTGACTGCTTACTTTTTGTATGTAATTTGCAGTTTATTTGTGTTTGGACAGCATTGTCAGGTGTGCTTTTACATGTTGTGGGACATGTCGTTTGTGTGATAAATCATTACAGCAGTCTAGATTTGTTGTTTCTTACAGGTAGTTTGTTTTTGTGTCTTTACAAACATATAGAAAAGGTTGCAGAAGAATTAACATATTATACCCTCAGCAGACCAACGGTAAAGAGTACATGGCAGTTCCTTGTCTTTAATGCTCCAGTGATTTATTGTATGTGAACATCACTTGGAAAGTTTGTATGTTGTAGAGGTAGGTGCTCTTGTGAATAGCAATGTAGTCCTTCTACTATAAAACTGGCTATACACTGATGGCATATTTTGTTCAGCCTGCAGGCTGAATGAACCAAAACTGACAGATTCCTTCATCCAAGCTATACAGCACAGATAAACGAATCTCCCTGCTGGCTGTGAAAACCCAAAACATGTCTGCATTTATTTGAATTCAATCAGTTATCAGCTAACAATTTTTTGCCTGTCTTTTCAATCAAGGGATGTCAGATAGGAGGCAGCCAATAGCACCACCCCCTAAGTGAATTTCAGCCAATTCCTCAGCAGTGGGATGACATTTGGCAGGGCTCAGTATAGAGCATTCACTCCCCAATTAGGCCTAGAAGTGTGATAATCAGTATTACACTAGATTTGTTGTCTTTTATTTTTGCTTAGATTATCTTCTGTTTATTTAGGTATTGTTTAGACATTTTCCGGCAAATCTTACCCCAGACCTTTTGTGAAATTTCAACCAGGGATTTAGGGGTTGGCTAGTAGCGTCCTAATATCTGTGGTTTCTCTAAGCTTCCGCTCCAGCTCAGCCATATACATAGAGATTTTCTCTATCTTTTTAAAAGGCAGAAGGAAGTAATATGACAAAAAGTGTAAAAAGTGGTTCACTTTTTAAAGAATTATTAAGCCTTTTAAAGTTAACATATACAATGTATTATGTATTCAACCACTTGAGTACCAGCCTCTAATACCCCATCATTACCAGGCCATTTTTAAAAAAATTTTGTGTGCGGATTGTTTGACTGACAATTACTCAGTCATGCAATACTGTTCCCAAATAAATTTTGTTATTTTTGTTAAACATATGGCAGTTTCTATTGGTATTTAACCGTTTCAATACCGGGCAATTTTACACCTTCCTGCCCAGGCCATTTTTCAGGTTTTCAGCGCTCTCACACTTTGAATGACAATTGCGCGGTCATACAACATTGTACCCAAACTAAACTTTTATAATTTTTCTTCACAAAACTAGAGCTTTCTTTTGGTGGTATTTAATCATCGCTGGGGTTTTTATTTTTTTGCTAAATTAACAAAAAAAGACCGAAAAATCTTGAAAAAAAAACACGTTTTTCTTTGTTTCTGTTATAAAAGTTTGCAAATAATTAATTGTTCTTCAGAAATTTAGGCCAAGATGTATTCTACTACATGTCTTTGGTGAAAATAACCCAAATTAGGATGTATTTTTTAGTTTGTAGGAAGGTTATAGAGTTCACAAACTATGGTATAGATCTGAATATTGATCAATCCTGAAGTACTGACGGCCAATCTAATTTCTTGAGGTCCAAGAATGTCAGAATAGTACAGATATCCCCCAAATGACCCCTTTTTGCAAAGTAGACAGTCTGACGTACTTCATAAGAGGCATGGCAAGTTTTTTGAATTTGTATTTTTTTTGTCATAATTTTTCGGAAAATGAAAATATAAAAAAAAATTATTTTCACAATTTTTTTTTTTTACAAACTGTCACCAGTGCAGTACAGCATCATATAACTGGCATGGCAGTGATCAGGGACACTGACTGGTGACAGTGTGAAAAAAAATATATATTTTTATTTTTTATTATTTTAAATTAAATTGTTAATTTTTTTTTTTTTTTTTTTTTAAGATTTTTTTTTCATATTTCACTATGTCCAAAGTAGTACAATGTTACCATAGTAACATTGTACTACTTTGGGGAAGTGATCAGTATTTTTTTTTTACACAATTTGCTTATAGCAAAGAATTACTTTGCTATAAGCAAGCATTTACCTGAATGACATCGATTCATTCAGGGTTTTTTTTTTTTTTTTTTTTTTTTGTGCTTAGCTGTGATTTGGCCACAGCTAATCACATGACATGTGCATGTGATTAGCTGTGACCATTCACAGCTAGACACTAGTATACAATGGATGGCATGAATGAAGCCATCCATTGTATACAGCTGTCATGTGAACTGCTGTGATTGGTCACAGCAGGTCACATGGTACCGGCAACAGGGGCCGGTACTCAGATCTGTCATCGGCCGTGTCCGAGGTACACGGCCGGTGACAGATCGCGCCACTGCGTGGCTCTGCAAGCACGCGAACTGCGCATGTGCGGGAGGACGCCATATGGCGGCCTCTCGGAAAGCGAATACATTTTTACGGATGCCATTCGGCTATAGGCCGGGTGTCAAATGGTTAATAACCACTGCTTTTCATTTTTTTTGTTTGTTTTTTTTCTTTATAAAATTTTGATGCAAAACATGATGCTTTCACTGCCTTTTTTGAGGCCCTAAAATGGTTTCATTTAGGGCATAGTGTATACAGTGCAGCAGTCATAGTGCAGGGCTCAAGACTATGTAATGCACAGAACAGCTTTTAGATTTAATTACCCAGGGATTAGTGAGCCCTTCTAGTGAATCAGTCAGTGGTGAGTGCCACTTTACATGTTGGTAGTCAGTGATGTGCCCTTAAATATTGGTGATCAGTGATGGCTGCCCTATAACTGTTGATAGTCAGTGGAATTTTTCCCCCATTATATTTGTGGTCAGTGTGACCACTTTATCGTCAATACGCCTCCTTCTGTGGACTTTCCTGCTGTTCAGTGTGCCCCTTTTTTATTAGTGGTCAGCTTTGGCAGAAAAGTAAGGAAAGGGTTGATTTGGCATTTTTTGTTTACATTTGTTGTTGCTGTGATTGGCTTTTAGCGATCCTAGGTACAAAGCCACACTGATTGGCTTTGTGCATTTTCCTGTGATCTGTGCTGTCTACTGTGTGTGCAAGCTATAAAAACAGTGCTGTCTTTAAAGCGCTTTCACATTATTTTTTTTTTGTTTCTATACAGTAGTACTGAGACATATAAAATATGTACAGTATTTATCTGTTTGCTGGCATACCACTTTATTACCGTGAGCAGTTTACTAAGGTATAAAATATAAATCTCATTTGCTGTCAATATGTGGCTTACTGTACTAATTTATGTATTTTGAAAGTTTACCTTTTTTAATATCAATTTGAGGGTTTTAATAGCAAGTTTGTATTTCCATTTTAAAACGAGCCTAGTTCACGCATCATTATTATGCAAATTGTCTGCTTAACAGGTTTCACATGAATGTTAAATGTTGACGAAGATTGTGAAATGGTTTTTCTAATTTTGGGTTGACCAGTTACTAGTAATAGGAAAGAGAAACCTGTTCACAATTAATAAAATTAAATTGTGAGCTGTATGTTAGTTTTTCTAGCTGTGCCTACATTTGTACTCTGAACATTCATTGTGTACACAAATTTTCCTGCACTAGAGGTTATTTCTGCTAATAGTGTATTTGCCTACCTGGTAATCATTCACCAAGGCTGCTGACATGTGTGTTCACACTTCTGCATCCTAGGACTTGCCCAACCTGCTTCTTCACATTTCTGGAATGTTAGTACCAGATGAGGCTTTGTTTAAAATGACTTAACATCTGCATATTAGTAAGCATTATTTAGATAGGTCAAAGCAAAGTGAATGACGTTAATTGTATGCCTTTTTTATTCTCGGATAGATAAAGCTCTTCAGCAATGATTTACTTGGTTAACTTGTTTAGTCAGTTTGCACCCACCCTCTTCTTATACTGACATTGACAGATGAAAAATGGACAGCACTGCATTCCTATGGGCAAACAAATGTAAATGGATGATTAACTGTTCACATCCATGTCTGCTCAAGTCTGTTTTTTTTTAAATGGAACAAGTCTATTTTTGTTCCGTAAAAAACGGAAACTGACCTCTCCTAGATCGTAAGCTCGAAAGAGCAGGGCCCTTGACCCCCTCGTGTTTTGTTTTGTTACTGTATTGTCTCATGTTCTGTCCCCCACTATAATGTACAGCGCTGAGCAAACCTTTTAGCGCTATATAAATACTGTATAATATTAATAAACTAATGTAAATGGACAATGGTCCATTTTTGCATTGGTTGTTAGGAGCTGGCATGCTCAAACATCCTAACGACTCCCTGCTGACAGGGGGATTCTCCGCAGACAGCAGTGTGTAAACCAAATAATCAAGCTGTGACGGGTGCGGCGAGACCCCAGCTCTTCTCACCAAACTCGTGACTGAAGGACTAGCCAATCTAAAACTGCGCTGTCACGTGCGTAACAATGCCAC